ATCTTAGCATTGTTGACTAAATCGATGAGTCAGTTCGCCTAGGTCTTTACCTAGGCGGCATAAACAAGGTTAATATGATATGTACAGAAAGGTAAAAGTATGGGATTTCTCTTGTTATAAATGCTAGCTAGGAATACACCAAGCAGAAATAAGTAGACTGTCTTACTTAATTTTTTTAATTTATTTTACTATTACTCTAGCAAAAACTGGATAGTACACTCTATCGCTTATTTCTGAACATAAAATAATTTCACTGAATGCAAATGTTATTAAGTTAGAATGATTGCGGTGCGCTGTACATTTCAATTCTATTCTCAAAGCTGTGCATACAAATGTTGCATTTAGACATTATGCGATATGGAAACTGGTGCCAGTCAAAACAAACCGATTCCAAATTTTTCTCTAGCGTGCTCGCAGTCGACAAATCAACGTTGCCAGAATCCGATCGGACTGCAAAGCAAATCCCGTAATCAAAATAAAATAATCTTCCAATTTATCAAACTCCATTTACTGTTTATTCTATTGATTAAATGATTGAAAATGGAAAGCTAATGGATTTGCTCAGCTTCCACCATCTATCGAAACAACAACCGTTTTATTTATGAATGGAAAGAGGACCCTCGCTTTGCTCTAGTAAAACCCGCAGTTGTTTTTAAACAAGCGATCGCGCTTTAGTTTTTTTTGTTTCTGATGGGCTAAAAGGTAAACAGTTACAAACAGAGCTCTTTCTGATATTTATTTGTTTCCAGCTACTAGTCGTCAAGCCAAAATAGGTATCCATCTTGAGTACATTCGAAAATTGTAAATACAAGTTTAAGTCCTCAAATGTTTGTTGAATTTGGAGCACTTACTATAATTAGTGTGGGATGATATGATAATAAACAGATGAATTTTCAAAGGTGGCATAAAATATTTATTGCAACGTACAGCTTAGTGTTGGAGATGTCTCTGAATTTATTACTGCTTAAAAATATATGCAGCACCGTTTGTTGCCCAGCACCTCATAAATGATAACCGGGAGAGCTTCTAAGCGAAATCGTCGCAGTTTTATAGCAACTAAACTCGCTTAGGGCAAATTTAAAGATCTTGCCGTTCACACTCTTGAAATTAAATTTCATATTGTTGAATATTTTATTTCAAGTATATAATCGTTTCGTGTTTAGATTTCTTGACGAAAAAAGTCACGTCTTATTGAAGGTCATCTTTTGAAAACAATGAACTTCCAGAAGTTTATTACTCCATCTAGAAACGGTGAATCACTAATTACAACGGCTAAATAGCTCTGCTTTGTCGAACACTGAAACGGTGAAGTTCTTTGGTCAGTGTTTATCACAAGGCTTTAGATAGGAATATTCAAAAAACATGTTCTCGAATCGGTAGCGGAAATTCGCTTTTCTGAGCTCCAAATAACTCGCCAGACAAGATCAGAGTGATAAAGTATCTGCTTCCAAATCAATTCTATCTCAAACTTCGCCGCAGGCAATGGTGCTTCTAATGTTCGATTTCTTTAGATTAATCTAAATTTTCCAGCTTTCCACTTTTCGTTTTCATTTTACTGAAAGCTCTAAAGGGCTTTGATTAAATTACATGATAGTCTTTCATACCGGATGCATAAAAATATAATTTATACAGTATTTCGTAAAAAAAATACTTTTTTAAATTCAGGTACGGTATACTAGCCTTCACATACTGAAAACTGATTTATTCTATCGCAAATAATATTAAGAGTTCAGTGACTCAAATTAAACCGAAACGTTTTCCGAAAATATAATTCTTGTCTACAGATTAAAATATTCAAATTTATAACGATAAATAGGTCGTTTTCCACGAAAGGCAACCATAAGAAAAATCAAAGCAAACCCGAATTATATTGAAACCATTAAATTATAATTGTCCACTTAAAATTGCCGTTTCTGGGCAGTAAAACCTTTAGAAAATAGGAACATTTATTGTTACCTTCTTACATTTATAGCCATTTAATAGTCTATTTGGAGCAGACAGAGTCGTAAACCCATTTAAAAATTCCAAACTCCCTCCAGATTTATTTACAATGAATTAAATCAAATGAGTGACGTGATGCGTTTTGAACTGCGAATATATTTACGAACAGTTAGGTAATTCGGTTATCATCAAAAAACTGGAAAAAATGTATAAGTAATTATTTGCTTACATTACGGTTTCAGGTGAAAATTAAATCTGGTGAAACGTGGAACTGATGAAAAGTTCTTTATTTTCGCTCAAGTTAATTAAGTAAAAATTTTTCCGGGAAAAGTTCCTCAGATCTTTTTTCCATGCGCATATTGGTGCAAATGTTTAGTTAACAAAAAGAGTTAATGGCATAAACCTGTCTGTGTTTATCTGTTCTAAAGTTTCAGAGTGGGTTTCTTTCAACCTCTATCTATAGTGCGCTGTATGATAATGCTCGCGACACTTACTTGCAGATGGAAGTTGTGCAGCTTTTTGTATAAGAAATTCAGGTATAGAAAACTAGCGATTTAACTTTAACACTGGTTTAGTTAAGTACAAAACTACGAACTGAAAGCAAGAATATAAACATTTGAAAACTATTTACCTGTATTTTATGTGAGGGTATTCATTATGAGAATAAAAAGTCGCCACAAACAATATAGGCGCAACTGAATAATATTGAAGAGGACAATTGGATTACATTACAATTGAACAGACAACAAGAAAGAAATACAACAATAATACAACAAGGATAACAAGCGAATAGGGACCACATTAACAGAAACAAAAAATCAAATAAGCAAAGGACATATCGCTAATAGAAAACTATTCCGAGATAGAGATTCTCGAAGGACAACACGAAACCGTGAAAGTACATTAAAGCAACTAACTTTTCCAATTTGTCTAAATGTCTCGGTCAGCAAAATTACATAAAATAACAATACAAACATCGGGATTTTATTTAAAGCTTATGGAAACAGTCAAATAGAGACAGTCACTCAGCTAGTCACTGCCAAAACTCAATGCTCACGTCAATGTAAAATTTATGATCTCTAGATAATGCAAAGATATTAAAAGCTGAGCTGTAAAAATAGTTTATAACTTCCTTTCCGACAAATAATCCAAACAATGGAAGTAATGATGGAAGTAATAATCCTACCCGATATATATGCTAAACTGAAAGTAGTTTAACCAAATATTGCCTTTTGTAATAAGCATAGTACCTATGGAGGAAGCCTCAATTCCAATAGGTAAATGATAATGACTCGAAATTTATGAAGAATCGAAGGAATACTGATTACTTCGTTTAGTTTCAAGAGTGCATATTTAGTATTCGAATACATATTTTCACCTTAAAACGAAACTGGACAGTGTACATATAATAATTTGAAGTTGGTGTTTTTATCAAAATATTTATAAAATTATTACAATAAATGCAACGAATATATTTTGTTGAAGTAAAAGTAAAGTATAGTTTCCTATCTAGGAGTAGTTGAACTTAATCAAAATATAGTAATCATCATTTTAATGACAAAATCTTCCATCGCGGGTGGGAGAGAGTTGAGTTGATTTGCTATTAACTTCTAACCTGTGTAAAATGGTATTTCAATATTTCAGGCAGTTTGCACCAATATCAATAAATTTTATTTTTCTTCACTGAGTATTTTTCGCTTCCTAGATCGGAATACTCGTAATTTTCCAACTGATTTACAAAATTCAATCAATCAAACAAGTTTGGCTGGATCCTAGATGCTAGATTAAACATCCGATGACTTTTCTAAACACAACTATTACATTTAATTTGAATTGTATTTTTTGCTACCAACTAATGCGTGAAACAACTCGTAGTTGAACCCGTGCTAAATGATATTCCAGGTCGCCAGATCCCAACGTTATTTTTATTTCCAGATGTGTACTATTCGGTGCAACATCCTGAAAGCTCCCAAATTTACAGCCAGGATTTATGGAAACGTGCGGGATCTTTTGGCCGGCCACTATTTCAAAAATATGATCGCATCTGCTTTCTTTTCAAACCGGGTCCTAACTTAATGAACTCTAAGCGAAAAGCTCTGTTTGAACATAAATCTGTTCAAGTAAGTATAATCTTTCTTTGCCTTGCGCGTCCCTTTTCGCTAATTTTGCCTCGAATTAATAACTGAAAAATTTGAGTTCAAAAGTGCAGTGATGGCCAGCTAGAACAGAACGTAAACCAATGCCACATTGACATAAATTATTATTTTTATTGATACGTGGAAAACAGTACATATCAGAATACCTCATCTTTTCATAGACTGTTCAATTTAAATCATCTATATAGTAACTCGGAAATGACGCGAATAAATTTAAAGCATAATAATTAATCCCGACAAACATATCACAGCGCATCAGGTAAAGATGCGGATTTCGGGAAAATTTTTACAACAAAATATGCTTCAGCACTTCGTCTGTATTGCATATCAATATTAATTGAAAATATTTTTATTATTAACAGATGCAGTATAGTAAACTTTAAAATTAAGTATTTTGAAAAAATAAGCTATTTAGGTATCCAGTGTGGGATTTTTGGGATATGTTAAGATAGTGCGTGGACTAAATAGTTTCCATCCTTCCAGTTTTAATGCGAAGCAGAGCTACTTTTACTTATTTCTACTATTTACCTAAGCCCCATACTACAGTGCCCAGTGCCTAAAAATTGATCCTCGACTCATTCTGTGTGTATCTAGGATTAAGGCTTTCTAACTTTGCTACAATAAAGCCATGCTTAAATTTCTAATATTATGTATGTTTTTAAAGCATATATTTAAATTTTCCAGACTCAAATCGTTAAAAACCCGTCTAAATTAGTCAAACAGCAACTATGTAAAAAATAAAGTTACTGCTTGACTGAAATCTAAACTAATTGAAATTTCTTACAAAACTCTACAAACAAACTAAAACGAATATCGTCTAACCGACTTTTAACTTGGTTCATAACAGAAGTTTCCAGCTGGTGGAGAGCTTTAAAAACACAACAATTCTCCTTCGGCGGCTTTCTTTTGCATTAAGAGTACTTACCTTTTTTGGGTTTATCACTAGCTACATCACTAAGCCGATCACTGAGTAAGTCTTGTGTTAAGGTCGTGTCCTGTTCATCGTCGAAATTGTCTTCTGGCGCTCCTATCGACAATTTATGGCACACTTCGAACGCTTGTCCAACAGTCCGGACAACTCGCATCGCTTGACTCTGAAATAAACAGACACCATGATATTTTTACGAAAAATCACACACAATTTTGAAAATTTTAATCCACATATATAATTTAAAAACTTTAATATATACAACTAACTATATTAGATGCATTTATTTTGGAAATAAAGAACTTCGCATTTATTCCACCTTATAATTGGGGAATTAAATTCGCCAAATGGGGCTCAAACTTGAAAGCCGCCTTCTTTTGTTCAGTCATTTGTCAACCGAAATCCTACCTCTAAATCGGAATCCTCAAAACTAGGTGTCCGCTGCACTCCATTAGTCACTACACTTAATCCTAATCCGGCAATACTTTGAATCCCTTTCCCCAACGTAAACGTCTTATCAATGTTCTCGTTAGGCGCAGTTTTTGCCCCGTTCGGCTTGGGATGTTTCAGAATCCGTTCACAAGACTTCAAAGTATTTTGAAAGTTTGTCTGAATTCGCCCCCGTGAATCTTCCTGCTTATTAGCTACGGCTTTGTTCTTTAAGGTTTCCCCAAAGGAGTGATTATTGAATTTCATTTTATTAGTCGAGTGTTCATTATGATGGCCGTTCTTTTGCTTTTCTGTGTGTCTTGAATTTTTTGTATCCACTTCTGGTTCCTTGAAGCTCAGCTTCTTTCTTGGACGCTCTAATGCTAGAGCTTCGGCGTCGCTTCGTCTATCAACACTCGGCCGGTCCACACAAACAGTTGCTGGCCTCAGTCTGCTTATTGGATAAAACACCTCATTTTCATTATCCAACTCGTTGTCAAACGATGAGATCTTTATTTCAGGATAAGATCCCACGGATGTTTGTTTTTGTAATAAACACTTGGTACCTGGTAATAGTAAACATTCCTAATTTTTTTATGTCTGTTTAAACTAATGTGTATTAACTATAAGTTATTTTGCAGTTATTTGTGAAGTGTCTTATTACGAAATGCAAGTTTTCTAATCTTGGCCAGATTAATGGCAATTCCTATATTTTTTGACAGAAAGTTTAAAATATTTTATTGCAAGATAAGTCCCTTAGTAAAACATGTTTTAGTATAACAAGTTTCATTATTTAGTCCTCTGATTAACTCCTATCCAGTTAGTAATTTTCCATTGGCTGTTTTGTAGAAGCACTTAAATCTTAAGAAACGCTAACGAATATTTCAAAAGCTAAAACTTTAACAGTAAATCATTTGAGCTGCCTTTTTTTACGTATTTCTGTATTCATCTCTTCAATAATTTGTATCGTCTATTAAGAAAGTGACAACATGTGGCATAATATTTCTCAAGATTTTAGAGACATTTTGTAAAAATGAACATTCTACATATAAAGTAACAATTAGACAAATATGGAACATAATACTTTTTAATTCAGGTATTTAATATTTTCTGTATCAGATTGAAACTTTTCGCAACACTTCGACTGCCTATCGCTTCATTCAATTATGCAAAATAATTTTCAGAAATAACTGCCAATAGCTTGCCGACAAACAGTTGCCAAATGACTACACAAAGTCTTCAATATTCAGAATTCTAAGTCCATTTTCAGCTAATTCTTACCAGGCTTCTGATACATTTCATCCCTAGTATCTTCGTCTCTATTCTGGGAATGTTTGAAAAAGTAATCCAACGTGCATTGGGTCATGCTCTTCGACAACGGTTTTTCCTGGTTCTCTTCGGCTTTTCTGTGCTTCAAGGCATCACTTAGGTTTAAAAGTTTGTGCTTCGCCCTTGATAATACATCGCTGTGTTTCTTTTTCAGCTCGGGATCTGCTAAATCTAGGCTGGAATGTCTTAACTTGGTCATGTTCAACTCATTTAGTTGCTTTTTGTTACTCATGTTGGTGGGGTAGCTAACATAATGTCTTTACTTTTATATGATTCATATTCTAGAAGGATTGTTTGTTTGATTTTATGAAAAGGTCCGTTTTTTATGCAATGTTTATTTTCGTTATAAAGGAGGTTTTTAAAAGGTTTGCACAAATTTAACCAATATATCTTTCGGCCAAAATAAGGTTTTTAAAATCAAGTCAATCGGTCGTAAACACTCTCAAAAAATGGAATAATGAAAGTACATTTTTGGGTTATTTTGCAAATATCCTTATTGAGTTCCGAGAAAAAAAGCTATTTTCCATTAAAAACGGTTTCGGAAAAAGCGGCGTTACACGACAATTATTTTTTGTCACCAAGAAATTTCTGGTTTGTTATTTTATAAGTAATGTACAGCTTGTCAAGTTGAACACCATTTTGATATAATAAACAAACATAAAACAAGTTCTTCACTCCGGATATGTCACTTTGGAAATTTAAAAAATCCCACTTGATTGATTATTGCACTTTCCCCCAGATTAATTGGTAATATCCGTCAGTAATGAGGTTAACATTATGGTTTGATAACTAGAAAAATAAATGTTATATGTTGTATGATGCCCATTGGGTTTCAATCGAAAAAATATTACAAAAAATATGAAATTTAACACGCTTGCAACGGAATTTTATTCGCTTGAAAATATGGTTTGTCGTTGTGTTTCATCAGTTCTTTATAGTTTTTCATTTATTACGAGGTAATCATAAACATTAAAACGCAATAAAATCTTGTAATTCTATTCATAGGAAAATGGAAATATGAGCAAGTGCATTTATCTGAATTGCTTCAACCAACTCTATGTAGGTTTCAAATGGAAATATATGCAAATAAAATTTCGGTAAAAGATTTATTCAAGAACATTCCGTCAGATTTGCTTAGGCTTGGCTTAAAATGTTGATCCTTGAATTTAAAATTAACATTTGCGCTAATTGTTTTTTGGCACTACTTTAGTCCATGGATGCAAACATTCTAGTAAAATAACGTTAAAGCAAACTTTCGGTTTGATTATTTCAGACAAAATTTCTGTGTAGTAAGTAAGTAACTTTTTACTTTGTTTTGGGTGAAAAGTCTTATCGACCGAGATCCTATAATGTAAGATTGTGACAGATAAAATCAACCAAAAAATTAATGCAGAACAAGTTTTCGTATAGAATTTATTCAGCGGTGAATGATGGTATACCTACTTCAGTCCATGGATGTATGTTTAAAGAACACGTGAATAAATTGATGACGTTTGAAACGTATGTACTGGCATTCGCCATATGGTCGATATTTACATTATTCGAAGTCCTCGGACTTAATTTTGCAAAGGTCACTTTGCCGTTGATTTTCCGGAATTAAGTGAATTTGAAACAATTGTACTTAAATATTCTTAACCGATCTTTCAGTTGCTTCGAGCGTAAATCAAGGCACATAAATTAATGATTGCTGTTATCATGATTAAAAATTTTAAAAATATTTTGAATTAAACGTTATTAGTGTCTAATTTAAAAGAGCTATTAGCTCACTATCAAAGCAATACCATTGGAAAATTATATGTTTTGCAACTTGGGTATTTGCACTGGTGATTTTAACGGATATACTAAAATAACTTCAAAGACTGCGATACAATCGAATGCAACTAATAGCAATTTATGTTTATGAGTTATCATTACCCAGCTTTACGACTACATAATAGAGTAATAATCGAAATGAACATGTTTATATAAGATAATTAATATTTTTCTTCAAACAAATCAAACAAACAAAAAATCGCCAATAAAACCTCAATTTGAAATTTACAATTTTTACTTAAAGTAGGTACGTTTGCAGTCTGTTTTCTTGCTTAATAGCTACTTTTTATTCTGTAGTAGTTCCCATATGTTTAATCGCATTTGAACCCACTCAAAGATATAAATATAGGATATAATTCTCCAAAAGTGCACACATAAATAACTATCGTACAAGTTCTGGAATTCCAAGTCTGGAATAAATCATTGTTTTGCCTCCGTTATATTGGCGCCAAAACTTTAATTACAGGTCAAATTCCTTGGCTATGAATAAAATAAAGGTAGCAAGCTTAAGTCGAGCCCAAAATAAACTTTTGTGCATGTTCTTTATCATTAAACTTAAATTTTTATTTGGGAATGAAGTTTTGAAGAGTTTGATGGTAATCTGGAATTTATACATGAGCAAAATGCAGTGCATGCATTATATATGAGTTCTGAGCTCGTTGCATACAAATATTTCCATGGCATAATGATTAATCAGCTAAAAAAATTAAAAATCTGCAGCTTAGTGAATCCGATTTCGCCCTAATTCCTGAGTATCAAAAAAACCTTTAAAAACTTCCTCTAACTGTGTTTTGCAAAATAACCAGCATAATAAACGGTTTCAGCTTCGAGCACTATTTAAATATTCGGACACATAAAAGCACACTAAGTTTCATCACACTTTTGAGAGAAACGGTTTGCCATTTATCAGTTTTGTCCACATTTTCAACTAAGTCACAAAACAACACAAATCGGTTTTACATGAAACGAGGAATTGGATTCAACGACTATAACGAGCACACTGATTAAGCCATCGAATCGTGAAACTGTTTGGAAACAAAAGTTGAAGCGGTCACTCGCGAAAATCGCACCTCCAGCACTGAATTTTCGAATTATTTATAGTATTTGACGTGTTTATGGCATTATTCCGAATGTTTCGTGGATTTTCGGGGGAACATTTTATGTCAAGATTCAACTTGCGTTGTTGGATTTATTGCTCGTCGTTAATCTTGCGTGGACCTGTGCAGGTTAATACCCTATTCATCTAGGGGTTTAGAGGTTTTCGTAAATTTATTTCCATTTTTAGTTTGACCAGCTTAAAGAAGTAGCATTAAAAAACCTACATCATAATTTTTTTTAAACAAATTGGGCAAGATGCCAAAATTTGTGGCACTTTCGCCATATCCTTTTGTTTTCATAATTTGTTCAGCAAAATGTAACCTTGCAGCTCGATTTCAATTGGCAACCTAAGCTAATAAACAAAAATATAGAACATATAAGCAGCACAATAAAAGAAAAAAAATTCAAATCTATAATCAAAATTAGTGCTTTGGGTTCTAATAAAAAAACAGTTGTTCCCACAAATATTTTTTCAAAAAACAAACAGTTTTTTAACCGATTTTCTCAATTAGACAAAAGTGTTGTTTTTTCGAAAAAACCATGTATTTCAGTAGAAACACAAGGCGTTTGAAGTGTTTATTGAATGTACCGAACAAACGAGTGATGAAATGAACTTTTTCTACACTGGAAATTCTTTGAAGAATAAATAAACGAAGTTGAGGTCGAGTTTCAGTAAGTGAATGGATTTCAATACGACTATTGCTGCTTTATACACTTAGGAAAATCATCTATAAAGAAATTTGAAGATTTTTGAGCTATTTCAGAACGCCCAACTCATCTTACTATTTATGTCAATTCAGTTGTAATCTGATATTATCAAGAGCCTTAGAGCAAACAAAAAATATGTAAAACCGCATTTAAAAAAAAGAAGAGATTTACACAAAAAACTCAAACAGCTTAATTTTTATTAGAGGATTCTTTACCTTGCAAAAATATTTTCTGTACGTGCTCTAATATAAAGCAAACAAAGCTTTAAAAGCTCGCCTTGGTTTGGCAATTTAAATTACTTTTTTTTCACGGCGTCTCGTCCAACAAAAACAAGTCCAGCTTGACAAATTTAGCCAGGTGATGAATGATCATACTTTTCACCTTTGAGACAATACGTTGTACTCGCTTGTAAAACACAACAAATTTCATATAAAACGGGTAATCACGCTAATGCAAAGTTGAGTTATTTAGTTTATAAATAATATGAAGGTTTAATTATCAAGTAAAATAAATAATGAAGACCGAAAGTTAAAAGCTGACATGAAAAAATCATGTTTTATGATGAAACAATGCAGTGTACGAGCGAAAAATCCATATTTTTAAAAGGATTCTGTTTATTATCATAGAATATTAAAAGCAGCTCTGCTTATTATTTGTTTTTTTTAAGTGGACAGGCGTTTAGGTAAAAATACTCAAAAATTATTTAAAAAAATGATCGACAAGTAGTTTATTTATGCGTTCGAAATATATAAATGTTCCATTAAAATTGCCTATACGAAATCAGCACATAACATCTGCTGCCTCTAAGGAAAATAAACCGGCCAATTTTTTCTTTAGAATTAAGAGGTTCAGGCTATAGAAAAATTATAGGTTATTTTAGTCGCACGTACCTACGTGGTAAACAATTGCCAGTGGATGTATCAAAGGCTTTCGATATTAAATATTTCAAAATTTACTTAACTGATTGAGTGCTAATTACTTATCGAAAATCGCAGCAGGGATTTTTAATTGATATTATGTGAAAATGTAACCTTTTTATAAGATTTTTTCTGTCATAACTAAGTTAAAAATTATTATTTTTTAATCACATCACCACACCACATTTTTATTCACAAGTTTACTCGCAGAGCAGATTGCTACAAAAATGTGTAAATATTCAGCTGTGTATCAATGTCTATCAAAAAGTATCAAAATGAGGTATACGGTTCAAGCGTGTATCTATCTAATATTTGACCAGTCGCTTTCGGCGATTAAGCCATCATCAGGGTTTCTGGAAACGAGGCTCAAATAGGTGCGAAAAACGTGTAAGTAACGGTATATGTTTAGGAGTGGCACAAACGATACATAAGACTGAGTTTAAATCATCGGTAATCCTAGGGGTCATAAAACTTTCAGCAAAGTTGAACATATAAAAATACTGTATTTTAATAAAACATATATGTTGGAGCTGAATTTATTTAACTTTAGTAAACTTATTGATTCACTATCTATTACAGTGCACGTAAAGTTGCAAAATTCGCAAATGAATTCAACATTATTAGAAAAGCCAGAAAATTAAGCAACCGTAAATACTCAAAATGTCCTCAATAGTTTTGCCCGGAAAGCAAATAGTAACACACTAATATAACTAACAAAACTACGCGAAGCTTTGTCTGGCATACGGGCACTAATTAATTTAGTGCTTAAAATTGAATTTCCAGAAATATTGTTTTGGACGAGACCCATATAATATTTTGTAATTTATTTCGACCGGCATTGTCCAGCTTTTAAATCGACAAAAGCACGTCTGTATTCAAAGGCAATAATTTAAAACATATCTCGATTGTATGGCAAAATTTAAATGTTTGGTCCATTAGTTTGTAATTTGACATTTTTGTATCAATGATCAATATTAAATTAAAACAATTTCAAATATTCGCATAGTAGAGGCGTAAACGAGTTAGAGCGACGCAATATATATGTCTTGAAAATTTGGGATATAAAAAGAATAAACTGATGAAAATTGGCAAAGTACAAGGTCAAATATGTGTACGAAGATCAGAGAATAGAAGAATATTGATGTTGAGTCTTAAAGTGCATATTTCATGCGTTCCTGACCTGCAAAGAAAGCCCGATAACCGTTAATATGATTTAATTAAATAATTCCAATTCGGTTCAATTGCCAATTTTAATTGACTAAATAGGACTTTACAAAACTTAAATGCTTCGAAAAAATAAAATGCTTCTCAGAATGTGCAAAGAAAGCCCAAATGTTATTAGCATCTTTTTTAACTTGTTGCGCTTAATTCAACGACTACTAATATAATATATATTAGTAGTCGTTGGCTTAATTGCTGATCAATATCAAGTTAATAAATATTCTTTTAGTGGCTTCAAATAGTGAAGGTTCGTTCAAGTCAGCAAATTATTAATAGGGAAAAATAATGAGGGCTTGCAATTTTATGCGCCGTTACTAATTGCTTCGTGCAAACTTCAGCTTCAGAAATAATCAAACTTTAATAAGGAATTTGAGGACCCATCATCTGTCAACGATAAACTTCCGTTATGATTTTATGGGTTGTAACCAATATTATTCATTAAAAATTGGTTGTTATCTCTCTTAATAAGTAGCAACACTTTAACAACCGTTTAAAATGCCCGTAAACATTAATTACCCACTTAGGGTAGGCAGACGACATTATTTAAATTTGGGATTTGTTGTTCTACATTTGCATTAAGTTTCAGTGAAACATGCAACCGCACAGAAGATTAAATTAACTGTGTATAAGTATAGTGAGTGGAAATGAGTAAAGTATTGCATTTATGTATATTTTCGGGGACCACACACGATATTGATATTTTTCAAATTATCACTAATACTCTTGTTACTTGTCTGTTGGCATTTATAATGTCTCGAAAAGCCTGTGCAAGCTTTTGGCAAGCAGTCATTTTCAATAATCAATTGATATTAGATACAAATAGCCTGCTAAATCTCCTGAGTTTCGAAAAGTTTTATAGATGTCAAAAAATGTTAATACTTTCTAGATTACGTTAAAACTAGCAGCGGAAACAACAGCTACTTGAGAGCAAGATAATCAAAAGTAAATCTATCATAATGATTTAGCATTTCCTAGTATTCAAAAAATAGTTGGCAAAGTCATGGGCTTATTTAGTAGGGAAGAATTCCGAAAATTAATGACCGTTTGCACGTAAAAGCGGTAAATCAATAGATACATGTTTTTCCTTTTTTATAGCAGGAAAGTTAACCAAATATTTTGACAAGCAGATCTGTATAGGTACACTGCAATATATCCATTTAATTAGGCTGTAAAATTGATGAGTTCGCACCTGGCAAGTGAAAAAATATGCAGAAACCTAATATGTAATAAGTCAGCCGGTTTAAAGTGTTTACTTTCACCCGGTTAAAATTAATCTAATGAGCACAATGTAAAAATATGTAAAGCACTTGAGGTTTTTCGCAAAAAGTTGTCTAATTTTATGTAGATTTTTCCCGGAACTATATTTAAATTCGGATTTTGGGGAACTAGAACTGGCAAATTGAATCCATTATGTTGTTCAGGTGTTTAACGTTCATTTAAATTATAAGTAAAAAGTAAGCCAAATCCTTGATGGTACTACTTACGAAACGTAAACATTGCATTTCAAATATTTAAAGAGCTAGAACGGTATTTTAAAATCGCCTGTATAAAATACGGAGCAAGGAATAGTCGAAAAGGTGTTATTCCCACATGAAAAGTTGGTTTCTGAAACTACTTCCTTGAAACGTCTTTAAGTTTACGATAGAACAAATTAAGCTGACTGATCTGCACAAATCAACTGAGTTAATTCCGTTGCATAGTGGATATACTTGTAATTAATGCACTAAATATATACACCATTAATAAAATTATCATTAGTAAAAATAGGTTGCTCTTGCAGATACAACGGTGACTTGATTACCAACGGTTTTAACATGTAATTATGTAATTTACAGCAGCACAACACTGTACTTGGATGAAATGTTTGAAACATTTAAAAAGTGACAAACTTGTGTCTCCAAAATCGTGGAGAAAGGGCAACGTTACCGAGTTTTCGTTTGCTTATTTGTTTTAGACATTCAATTATTATCAAAAGAAGAATGATGCCGGTAGATTTTTATTGGTTTCACGTCTAAACCGCCAACGACATGCAAGTATAAAGACATTTACCACTTAAGAAACTTAAAACATGCTCTACACCATCGAGGCAGTATGACGCAGGAAAACTCGATAATTTAAAGAAAACCTTTACATTTTGCACAGATACAAATTGAAAAATAGGGAAGATTCTCTAAATATTGTGTGGTCTAACTAAAGTTTCCCCTCCGGCTATTCAGTGTAACAATAAGAA